TCCACATCCTAATACAGCCACAATCACATTGCAATTACAGAAACTCAATTCATTGATATTTATAGAGCACTTTAAAACAACCATTGTTGCATACAATGTGCCGTCGTCCGTGGCGTGAAAATGGATCATCCAGCTAAAACAAAGGAAACAGCACAAAACACTAAAACAATACAGACTCTCATGCTGAGTCAAAAGCCATAGAATAAAAATGTGTCTTAAGATGAGAATCCATGAATGCGAGACAAAACAATGCAATAGCTCTCATATTGTCTGGAGCAATTCGGAATCGATAATGTGGCAAAAACGGAAAACAAGAAAAATCCATCATACTGACCAGAGATGCTTCCACCCATCCATTTTCCGAGCCGCTTTATCCTCACAAGGGTCGCGGGGTGTGCTGCAGCCTATCTCAGCTCTCTTCGGGCAGTATGCATTAACATTGTTACACCTATATATATATATATATATATATATATATATAAATATACACACATATATATTTATACATTTTTTTTTTTGTGCAATATTATTCACGTTGGTGAAGCATGATTTTAATGCATGCAACCAACATCAATACTTTCTTATTAGTCAATACAACAGACTCTTTTTTTCAGTGTTGGTGGCAGTTTTCACTTGGATAATTTTAATACACCATCCATCCATTTTCTGATCCACTTCAAGGGTCGCGAGTATGCCGGAGCCTATGCCAGCTGTCTTCGGCAGTAGCCAGGGGACACTCTGAACTGGTTGCCAGCCAATCGCAGGGCACACAGAGACAAACAACCATCCACGCTCACACTCATACCAAGGGACAATTTAAGATAAGATATCCTTTATTTGTCCCACACTGGGGAAATTTACAGTCTACAGAATTTAGTGTGTTCAATCAGCCTGCCATGCATGTTTTTGGAATGTGAGAGGAAACCGGAGTACCCGGAGAAAACCCACGCAGGCCCGGGGAGAACTTGCAAACTCCACACAGGGAGGCCGGAGCTGGAATTGAAACCCGGTACTGTACCTCTGGACTGTGAGGTCGATGCGCTAACCACTGGACCACCGGGCCGCCCCAGAGATGCTTATTAAATGATTATTTAATGTATTTATGTGTGCAGATTGCTGCAGATGTTATTCTAGTTGAACTTTTTTTTTTTTTTTTGCTAACTCACTGGCCTTTGAAGGACTACCAGGAATTTTAAAGGTGGGTGGCTGAAGAAACAGTCCACTTTCGAATGTATTTTAAAATACATTCGCCAGTACTGCTGTACAAAAAATTATAACGGTCATTTACAGAAGTGAAAACAGTGCAGTTTGGCAATAAAGTTCAAGGAACAATTTTTAGAATTTGGGTAGGTCAGTGCTGCTATTAGTGTTTAGCTCATCAGAGAAGGCCTTGTTGACTGTGATGGCGCACCACTGACTTAATCCACCTTGTACATTAGGACAAATCAGCCAGTTGCCGTGAAAATCCTGAAGAACGATGAAAGCGGCACATCACTTCGGGAGGAAATGCTGCGAGAAGCAAATGTCATGCAGCAGTTGGACAATCCTTATATTGTGCGGATGATCGGTATCTGCGACGCAGACAGCCTCATGCTAGTCATGGAGCTGGCCGAGCTGGGGCCACTTCACAAGTTCCTGCAGAAAAACAAGTATGTTTTCTCATCTGTATTCTCCAAGATTAACTTCCGTGGGCTTTGTTCACATTTGTGCTGGTTTTCCTCCAACATGGTAAACAGAAACATCTATGACAACATACCAAATAATAGAAGTAAAATATTTGAAATGCCTTCAAGTGATGAACTGATGGATTCAGAATTTGATGTTAAAATTCTGGAAAATTATGTCTCCTAAGTCACAAGACCTCAGTTACGGTTGTTGTTTTATCTGTTTGTTTTTTTTTTTTTTTTTTTTTTTTAATATTTTTTTTTTTTTTTTTTTTTGCCCCTCAACCCGAGGTGTGTGGGTGGTTTTTACCGTATTATATATATAAAACGCACTATAAGGCGCACCGTAAAGCATTCAATTAAAAGACAACAGCGCGCCTTACAATCCGATGAACCTTATATGTGGATGGATATTCTGATTTCTTGGACGTAGTATTTTAAATGTTCTGTAAAGCGCTTTGTTACAGCTGCAGCATTTGTGAAAGCGCTATATAAATAAAGCTGTATTTCTTTTAGTGTAGCTCCATATAGTGGGTGCATAACGCAATGGCAGCCACTATTGTAGCTTCTATCCTATGCACCTTAAAACGTGGTGCACCCTTTATATGAAAACAGTTGATTGTTCTTCCACAGGCAAACAAGCATTGCCAACATCACGGAGCTGGTGCACCAGGTGTCCATGGGGATGAAGTATCTTGAGGAGCATAACTTCGTCCATCGAGACCTTGCTGCGAGGAACGTGCTGCTCGTAACACAGCACTATGCCAAAATCAGTGACTTTGGTCTCTCCAAAGTAGTTGCAGAGGACCAGAACTACTACAAGGTAACTGCAGACTCTGGTTGGGAATTTAAAAAAAAAAAAAAAAAAATTAAAAGTCTTTCTGACTGGCCGGTACAACTATTATTTAAATTCTAAAGAGCTTTTAAAAAAAAAAAAACTGTATTCTTCATATATGAATTAACAATGCAATATTTAAAAATGTGCTTTTTTGTTACTATATTCTGCATTGTTCCAACATTTGTTGTATTAATGGCAATAATAACTAGCGGTACATTGTCATGGCACTACAGTATCGGACGTGCGAACCACCAGTACGGTGGTTTCTAGATTATTCAAGGATTGTGTTTTTGATAAAACTGGATAGAATAGAATGACAAGATGCAAGGATTGCAACTCAAAGTGAGATGCCTCTAACATCTTAACTTCACCCATCACTGTAAAACCCACAAAGAAAGGTAAGCTAGGCTAACTCCAAAATTTAGCTTACTCACATTTGTATAAACACGGACTGAGCTTCGTATTGGTTGTAATTGAAAAGAAAATAATGTAGCATCATAGACAATACAGAGACTGGTTTTGGAACTATTGAAAAAGAAAAAAAAAAAAAAAAAAAAAAAATGGCTATTGTGGCGGATATGCTTAAGTGTAAGTAAAACTCTTAAAACGCCCATGTGTTTTTCATTTGCTTCATCCAATTAGTGACTTGACTCAACTTGCTTGAAACTTTAAGATTAAATTTGTGTCTGAATTATAACTTGCTCGTGTGGTGTGACTTAATAAAAGGGCTCTGAAAAAGTGTTTGGGTCCTCCTAAAATTGATCGTAGTTTGTCCTCACTTTAATGGTTGAGATCACCAAACAAATAAAGACAGATTTCCCCTCAAAATGTGATGTGCCACTGTTATAATTCAAGTTATAACAAGGAGCATGTACTTTTTCCACAAAGGGCCAGGTTGCATTGAAAATGTGCATCGTCTTTGTTCTCTTTATGTTATTTCAAGAAAATTGCAACTCCGGTCGCCAGTCGTTGCTCTAGTCCGATAGTGTAGGCATATACATCCATAACAGTTCCAGATGAGATGAATGTCAGACGATACAGATAAAATGTACAAAATAACCATCTTGTACAAATGTACAAAATAAATTTCTTCATACTTATTTCCCATGACATAAACAATACATTAGATGCAGTCAGTTTAAAAAAAAAGATTGGTGGTCCTAACTGTGGCTAATATGGTTCTTAGTCACGGTATGTAGTAGATCAGGTTCTTACAAGATAAAACTATGCCAACTCAAGTAAGACACTAACACTATAAGAAAGCTGATAGATGTTAAGAGGCCGAATGGCCTCACCTCTTTGTGATTGACGATGATGTGAATGTTCTTACAGGCAAAGGGCCACGGGAAGTGGCCGCTGAAATGGTATGCTCCAGAGTGTATCAATTACTTCAAATTCTCAACCAAAAGTGACGTGTGGAGCTTCGGGGTGCTCATGTGGGAAGCGTACTCTTACGGAGAGAAGCCATACAGGGTATGAATTGAAAGTGTCCCATAAATGGTGCTTCATAATGGTAGCGAGAAAGATTTATATTCTGGCTGTGTGGTCATTTCTTCCCTGCTCACAGCAGGCCTGAAATGAATTCACAATTGCCTTGTGATTCCAAAGAAATACTCATGTCATTAAATCACGCACAAACGTTGTGCTCCAGGTAAGAGTGAGGTAACTTGATTGTGCCTCATGTCATCTTAATGTCGTACTTCTCACAGGGAATGAGAGGAAATAACGTTTTGCAATTGATTGAGAGTGGAATGCGGATGGATGCCCCGCCGAACTGTCCGGAAGAAATGGACAGCCTCATGAAGACTTGCTGGACGTATGAGTAAGTAACAAAAAAAAAAAACAAACAAAAAAAAGTCATCCGTCAGATAATTTTGATGGCTGGAGGATGAAGAAAATTGGATACACAAAGTGCAGAAGAAAAATAAGAACGATAACAATTGCATCATGGACTGTGCGCGAGCCCCTCGTTCATGTTTCCAATCAATCTGTGTGCTTCATCTGCAACTGAGAAACACGTCTTCACATTTTCAAGAATTCCTATTGAAAAAAGACCCTTGTTTTTTTTTTTTTTTTTACAGGGTGGAGAAAAGACCTACATTTGCTGTTATCGAGCAAAGACTACGGCGGTATTATTACGACATTGCACAATGAATAGCCACACCAATGTTGTACAAATCTAGAAAATAGATAAATCATTGACTTCAACTGGAGATCTGTTAATTTCATACCGAACCATTGTACATTAAAATTAGGAAGAAATACATTTTCTGATTCTGCAATAAAACAAATCACAATACACCTCATTTTTAATTGTCTTAAATATATTCCATGTATACCTCTTGAGTCCACTAAACCTAGTGATGGCCCTCCATCTGATGCTAGCTTGCCGCTAACTAGTTAGCTGCCATATGCTTGCTAGCAATGATCAAAAGTTGTCAAAAGTTGTCAAACATGTCTCGTTTCCATATTACATGAGTGGTTGATTTCATCACAACTGAATGTGTCAGATGTTTTATTTTGCCATCTGGGTTGCGCCACACTACAGAAGGATAACAAGCATTGACAGTACAGATGAGTATGAGGTTTAAGTACAGTACTGGAGCTATGAACAAAAGGACTGCTACCTACAGAAATGAATGAACCGTACAGAATAAAAGGTCATTTGTCACAGGTGTCTGGTCGAAACCTCCCATGTCACAATTTGGTAAATCGAATATTTTTTGACGATACTATTGGTCAGTCACCACATAGGTGTGGTCCTTTTTCCAAATGGATTGTAGAAAATGGCTTGTTCCCTTTGACGCCAGGGATATATTATTTTTCGAACAGTGTGCAGCGTAGATTTTGTGACAGTTAATATGGGACAGGGTACAGACACAAGAAGGCTTTCTCTTCCACAATTAATGAACCCATGAGCACCTTAAGGCGGGTGGTATGAGCATACTGAGTGTTCAATGTGTCCAGCTTACTCATTTTACTCCAACGCTTGCCTCTGTGTAGTGTTTGAGAGTGAATGTTGCGTTGAGTGAACGAAATCAGAGGTCAAGTGAAGATTGATGAGACCACAGTCCGAGAGCAATCTTTGTTGATTTAGTAGGCTTTGGTTTGCGGAATGGCTATGGCAATTCTCAGTTCACGTTTCTGATCAATTGAAACCCAAGTTTAAAAAAAAAAGTTTACACATCATTCAGGAAGCAGGAACAAAATCAGACCAATTCATGGCTTTTTGGATTGGGTACACTACAGTGGTAAAAAGCAATCGCTGGACATTGCTTGGACAATATGGTACACTCCTTAACATGATAGCTATTCCAATGTAAAGCACTGAGCAAACAGTATCAAACATCAGCCTGTCCTTCAGGTATTGTGCTGGCGAATGCACTGACATGTACAATTTCCCCTCGAAGCTTTTTGGAAGCAGTGGTGCAAGAACTTAAGGCAGAAGAACTCTTGGAACGCTTTTGGGAGCACGACGACTCACTCGCCCTTGTACTGAGGATGCCTCTTTTCCTTGAATGCAGCCAAACCCTCCAGTCGATCTTTGGTTGGTATCACCTTTGAAACAAAAATATATCAAGACTGTACCCCTCGACTGTTATATTTTTTGCATCCGAGTCCAAGTCACTTGATTCTAAGTATACAGAGTCCTGATCCGATACCTACAATATGCAATGCAATGAAGAAGAAAAAGAAGACCACATCCAAATCGTCTCGGTTATCTTAATTACCGTATTTTCCGCACTATAAAGGCACACCTAAAAGCATTCAATTTTCTCAAAAGCCGACAGCGCGCTTTATAATCCAATGCGCCTTATATATGGATCAATATTCAGATTTCTTGGACGTAGTAGTTTAAAAGTTCTGTAAAGTGTTTTGTTACAGCTAAGGTGGTTGTGAAAGCTCTCTATAAATAAAGCTGTATTGCATTCCTTTCGTGTAGCATCTCGTGGATGCATGATGTAACCGCAACCACTATTGTGGCTTTAATTCAATGCGTCTTATAAAGCGGTGCGCCCTACATATGAAAACAGTTTTAAAATAGGCCTTTCATTGAAGGTACACCTTATCCTCCGTAGCACCTTATAGTGCAGAAAATTATCGTATTATTTTTTATTCTTATTTGAATAAAGGTATCCCAAGATGGCCCCTTTTTATTTTGGCGTACATCAGCAGTGGTTCAAATCAAGTATATAACTAACTATTTTATTCTTGACTTTAGAAATTCAGAAAATTTAAAAATCTATTCTTTTTTTTTAGGCAATACCAATCAGACAAGCTATAGTACTGTATTTAGTACACAACACAGGGGACTAATTAGCAGAGTTGAGAACAGTGCAGCACTTTTAGCCCATTTTATTTTTTTATTATTATTCCTTTTTTTTTTAATGTTGTTTTCACAAATCTGGGATTTGAAGAAGGGTGTGTAGACTAGATCTACCACACATGGAAAATTCCAGATTATTATTTGTAAAAAAAAAAATAAAAATAAAAAAAAAAGTCTAAAAGTTCATGGACACAGTACGAAAAGCATCTTCGCAGTTTACATTTGGTACACAAGAAAATATTCAACAGCAATTGACCTTGTTAACCAACTCAGATCATTCTCACCCTGGTTTGCCGAGTTCAACTTTTGTTCTGACTTATTCCTTGAAAAGATTTATGACCCTTTATATTCTCACACAGATCAATTATTATTCATTTCTTTTTTCAGCCATTTGTACTGCTGTGGGACAAAACAATGATCTGTATTCATAAGAATATTCAACACCAACAATTATTTTCAGACAAATTGAAATTGGACTATTTTCAAAGAAACGGTCCTTTTTTTCAAACTGTATAATCATTTCACGGCATTTAATATGTTTTTGACAGGCCATATTAGAAATTATCTCAAGCATGACAATGTCATACGTCAATAAAAATGGAAACATTTTATATAATAAGACTCACCTGTGATTGCATTTTTCCATAAGAAATGTTGACATTTACAATACTTTCATTAGTATGCGCCAATGTTTGTAACATGACAACATGAAATGATTTTACTCACTTGGGCATAGCATGCCTCTTCAATAGCCAAGCCTGTAGCCAAATCCACCTGAAAGACATCATGGCAACTCTTGTAATCTCACAACTGTGATTTCAACGGAGTCTCCTCAAATGAACTGATTTTGAGCTCTCACATTGCTTTCTTCACCAAATAGCAGGTATTACATGGTTTACCGGTTGACATTGATAAAATATGAAATGGTCGAAATCTAAACCATTTTTATCAGGATATTTTGTGTGAAGGTGAGGGAGCCAGCCGGCACTAAGACAAGCTAAATTTAGCTATGTCTGCGCACAAACGAAAAACAAAGGTGGGTCCAAAGCCATAAGAATAATCTGTCCGTGTTCGACGTAACAGTGGCTCGTTGGTCCGGGGCCGGTGTGCCACTGTTGGGCCAATACCTACTGTCAGACGTTGTCCTGACTGAGCCACTAAATCACCGATCATTCTAGGCCACCCAAAATGGCCTGAAAGCATCATTTCGGATTTGGCTACAGCTTCCATGAGTGCTGATACCTTGAAATAAGAACTCAACTGTATTTATGGAGCACTTTAAAACAACCACTGCTGTATATAAAGTGCTGTACATGGAGCAAAAAAAAAATTCATACAACAAAAACAATAAAATTAATTAATAAGAGATACCGATACTCGCCCATCCCTACGTGATGGTGAACTTTCTGTGGATCCTGCATTATACTAGTTAATGACATGTAGCTGAATTTGCTAAAATTACGTTTTTTTTATGGCCGGTGTCTTCCGAAACAGTTAAAAGGGAAGTCAAAGATGATTTTTAAAAATGTGTTCTATGCACCCCTCACCCCCCACTAGTCCAAACACAGCCGCCTGATTAATATTGTGTAATTTGAATTAAGCAGCAAAATCCACCTATTTTTATCCATCTCACAGGGAAGCCATTTTGCCACTTGCTGTTGACTAAAAATGACATTATAGTTGCTCAAGGTGCAGGTAACGACTCATCACATATGCAATACTAATCAAAACACTGTTTGGACCAGTGGGGCCGCATTGAAAATTTTATTGTAAATAAAATGTGTGACTCGACTTCCTCATTAAATACAGGAATATCACTTATACACATATCATAGCGTGCCCTGCGATTGGCTGATGACCAGTTCAGGGTATACCCCGCCTACTGCCCTAAAACAGCTGGAATGGACGCCAGCATGCCCGCAACAAAGTGAGGAGAAGCGGCTCAGATAATGGATGGAGGGATGGACAAGATATGCTGTACTCTAAGTAAACAAGATTGAAGCCTGAATATTGGACATCGTTATCTTTCATGGCTCTGTGGTGAAATTTTGTGCTAAAAAACAAAACAAAACAGACATCGAAGACGTTTTAAATTGCTATGGGTGTTTTGTCTTGGTCTCTTGCTCGAGTCTCCCACCATTTACCTGTGCTGGAACCAAGTGCTTTCACTTGTTTTTACAGAATGCGGAAGTAGGTTGCGCAAATAGTGGATTGCTGCACATTCCTGCCTTACCTCGATACCCTGATTGATGGCCAGTTTCGCCATCCTGACTGCAATCGGACCCTGTGGAAACAAAAAGAAGATCGAACAGGGGCTTGAAATGTATGACAACATCATTAGAAATACCAAAAAAAAAAAAAAAAGACACAAAATGGTTTCCTTGACAGGTTCGTGTGACGACTGCCCTCTCACCTGAGGGTTAATCTCTCGTGCGAGCTCCAAAGCTCGCAGGTAGGCAGCGTCCCCGTTCTTATTCTGCTCTACAGAATGACTGACCAGACCCAGACGACAGGCCTCTATTCCATCCACCACCCGAGCAGTGTACATCAACTCTTTAGCATGGGACACCCCAATCACCCTGGGGAGACGCTGAGTACCGCCTGCATAGGAAATGGGGCGACATATGATGCGAAATAAAATGTACAAAGACCATTCAAGACTCTTCAATAATGAATTTTATTTATTTATTTTTATATGATTAATGTAAATAATGAATGCAAAGTCATTATCATCAAGAATAAGGGCCTCTAAAGCAGTGTTTTTCAAACTTTTTTGAGCCAAGGCACACTTTCATTGAAAAAATCTCGAGGCACACCACTAGCTGAAAATGTGAAAAAAAAGCTTGTTTTAACAATTAACGTGTTATATTCTTACTATAACCGTTTTTTAATATTGAAGAATGACGTTGGAACAGCTTGAATTGGAATCAAATACACACAAAGAAAAAAGTATTTTATAATCTTTCATATTGTTTCACCGTCGTCCTGCATTCATGCGTCACAAATTCGCTTGTCTCTAGTCTCAACACAAGGCAATTGGCTAGCTGTTGCTGCTCCCTAGCGGTATGGAAGGGTACTACACGATTACTTTGCCGGGTGACAGACCGACAGGCATACAAATTGGATATTTTCCTGCGGCACACCTGACAATGTCGGCACAGGGTTTGAAAAACACTGAATACACAATGAGCCTTCATGATTAAATGTTTTTTTTCCCTGCAGTGCATCCTGTAGAGCAGGGGTGCCCAACATTTTTTGACCGAAGATCCACTATTCGATCAACCAGCCTCCCAAAATCGACCTGTTACCGCACACACGCATGCCAAGGCACGGGACGCACTTTTGCAGCGTGTTAACTATCGTTGCTCACGTGTACCGTTTAAAAATGCTCCTCTCTGCCCTCCAGATTCCCATTCTCTGCCAGTACCCTCGGTGAATTGTACATGAAATGCCGTTTTTTAAAAGAATAACAGCCACCTGCCTGGTATCCCACCCTGCTAATGGAAACGTGTCGCAGGCTGTGACGCAAATCTTCGTTGACAGAAATGTTGAAATTTAATATTTATTCTACATATTTTTACAGCATTGGAAAACATTAAGAATGTTTGTGTCATGTTTGTCCGCCTACAGCAGGGGTGTCAAACTCATTTCACATTGTGGGCCACATACGGACTCGGTAGATGTCAAGTGGGCCGAACCATTAACATTATACCATACTGTGCTAAATATTCATTCTGTGTCTTTAATGCATTTTTTTTCACTTTTAAATGATCCCGCGGGCCGGATCGAACCTCCTTGGGGGCCGGTTCCCGCCC